TCTATCTTTTTATCTATCTATCTTACTCCCTCTCCCACTTATGTATATTCTGTAATGTATACAATTTGCAGGTGAACACTAAAGCGCAGATTGGATTCAGGAATCATTGCTCTGTATATTGTCTTTTATTTTTCAGCCTCACGGACAACTCAAACTAGTTATGTCCCTGCAATCCACTTAGGGTATTTCTAGCAGAAAATAATTAACATTTAGTGCAATTTATTCTATTTGACTTCCTGTTATATGTAGCTTCCTGTGTGTCCATGTAGCTGTATATGTGTGTTTTTGTGCCATGACCTTCGTTTGGTTATTTCTTCATATTGTAATTTATATTTGTTTTCTTTAGTCATCTGTTTGTCATCATGAGTAACGCAGACAGACATGAGTCCAAATGTGTATATGGGATTACAATACAGCAAAATATGTCGCAGTAAATCTTTTTGTTGTCATTTTTAAAAAAATCCATTATGGTGATTGCCACAGTAATGCACCATGTAGTTCAGGCCATTGAACAGATAGGGACGCTGTTGGCCATCGAGTTACTGAGGAAGCATTTGTTGCAGTACCTCCCCTATACGTCAACGTATTGCATTGTGAAATAGAGAGAGGCAGAGTCGGGACAGTTGGGACTGCCATGAACAGCATGACATAGGACCGCGCAATGGGATTTCTTTGTTCCAAAATTTAGACTAAGTGCCATCTTTGGGACCATATACTTGTACATACAGATCAAAAGCGGAACCTGTCGTGAAGAAACAGGGGATTTTCTGGTTTTCTTCACAGACGTGTCGACGGGAACGATGGAATGGCAAGTGCTGTTGTTTATCTCGGTGCTCTCTCTCACTGTAGTGCTCGGGCAGGTCAGCTACTCCATTCCCGAGGAAATGGCAAAGGGGGCTCTAATAGGCAATATAGCCCAAGATTTAGGTTTAGGTGTGGAAAGACTGAAGTCCGGTAAAGCTCGTATTTATACTGGTAACACTGAAGAATATATTGAGCTGAAAAGAGAAAGAGGAGTCCTCCTTGTTAAAAATAGAATAGACAGAGAATCTCTATGCGGTCAAACAATGCCTTGCGCACTCCATTTTCAAATGATCTTGGAAAACCCAATGGAGTTTTACACAGTTACTGTCGAAATTACCGATATAAATGACAACCCTCCCACATTTGAGAGAGGTGAGATGAAATATGAAATTAGCGAATCAGCTCTTACCGGAGCTCGATTTGTCTTAGAGAAAGCTATAGACAATGATGTTGGTGTAAACGGTTTGAGCAGCTACGCCCTAAAACCCAGTGATAATTTCGTTCTGAAAACCATCAGCCGAGGCGATGGGACTAAACATGTCGAGATGGTTTTACAGAAACAGTTAGACCGAGAGAATCAGGAGCATATGTCATTAATACTAACCGCTCTGGATGGTGGTGAACCACAGCTTTCGGGGACAATGCAGATTATCATAACTGTGTTAGACGTCAATGACAACCCGCCTGTTTGTTCAAAACTGGAATACAAAGCAAGTGTTATAGAGAACGCTCCTGTTGGCACTTTAATAACTACCGTAAAGGCTACAGACATAGATAAAGGCAATAACGGAAAGGTTACATACATGATTTCAAAATCTGGAGCAGCGGGTCTCTTTGAAATTGATCCCAGTAATGGAGTATTAACCTTAACTGGAAATGTCGATTATGAAAAAAGGAAACTTTATGAGTTAGATGTTCAGGTATCAGATCAGGGAGGATTATCCGACGCATGTAAAGTAATTGTGGACGTGACGGATACAAATGATAACCCTCCGGCCATTAACATCATGTCTAACTCAAACACAGTATCTGAGAACATGAAGCCGGGAACGGTTGTAACAATGCTTAATATTCAAGATCCGGATTCACACGATAACGGCAAAGTCATGTGTGTTTTAAACGAAAATATTCCGTTTGCTATTAAATCAACAACAAATAATTTCTTTACCGTCATAATAGACAGTGATTTAGACAGAGAGACAGCCTCTGAGTATAATATAACAGT